TAGCACATGATTTGTGTTGGTCCCCAAAATACACGTAATACGCTTTTTTGGCGAATTATGTAATGTTTTGCCTTTGTTTCTTTACAACAAATTTACCACAAATATAACAGAATATGTTTGAATCATTTACAAAACCTTTTGTTGCCATAGCGATGAATAAATAATATTGAAAAAAAAAATGTCAAAGTGCACGCACAAACAAATACTATCCAGAAATGACATGTCATACAGTCTGTTAACCGCTTATATATACTAGCGATGTATTTCTCGTGGGTTCTAGAACGATTGGTCTAGAAAAATCTATATCCAGTGGTTGTCACCATTTTAATCATAACAAAATTTGACCCAATTTCAATGAAAATGATTCACTTATGTAAAAGTACATACGACGTTTTGTGAAAAGTTTCTACGTGAAGGAGAAAATTGGATATCATTTTCGGATTCAGCGTACAGGAATTACTGTAGAACATGTAAAAATTTCAAGACAATAAAACCATCGCAGGCCTGTGTTATTACTTGGTTTTAGGGTTAATTGCTAATATAGATATATTAGCTGTTGTTGTTGTTGTTTGAAGTTAAGCACAAAGCTACACAATGGGCTATCTGTGCTCTGCTCACCACGGGTGTCGAAACCCATTTTCTAGCGTTGTAAGTCCTCTATGCCACAGGAGAGCATATATATTAGCTAAAACCAAATGGTATTCTTTTATTTCTCTAACTCCTATGTCTTGAAACAAAAGGTATTCAAATGTTTTTTGAATGATAAAAGTAGCTCTGAAAGATGAATAGGTCAGCCTAATGTTTGAAACTTCTGTGCAGATTTACATAACAATTTTTTTCGATTTTTCTCATCCAATTTGGTATTTACCTAAAGATATAAACAATGTGAACTGTAGTTACTGCTTGAAAGCACACATTAGTTTTATCAGCGCTTTCATAGGATAAGACGTTATAATAACGATATTTTTAGACTTTATCACTTACTGCTGAGAGATATTTAGAACTGAAACACTTTTTTTATTGTTATTTAGTACAATTAATAAAGATTTTCTGGACACAAGGAGTTTTCGAGAATTACATAGAATAAAGTACCTTGTGAGTGATCACATCTAGTTTTTTAACACAAACAGAAAAGTGATCAAGTTTTGTGATGTATTATATCAATTCACCTGGAAATGTTAATATAAAATTTGTAGAAAAAGACCCCATTTTAACATCGACTTTGACGTTAACATTGTGACTTGATCTTATTAACTTATATATCTGGTCTTATTATTTTCACATTTATGCTACATGAATTATAAAGGTATTTATATTATACATAAAGAGACAAAAAAGAAAACATTTTCCCATTGTCTGCAACGCAGCAACATTCTTAATTTCTCAGAACTACAATTGTGGAATAATAACTGTATGTTAATATCAACAATCTTATGCAAATAAAACTAATCTGGGAAAGACTTAAAATATGTTAGTTTAAAATAACGTCTATTAGATGTTTTTATGGTTCTTACGGTTGCTAGGCGATTAAAAATGTCATAACCACTTAACTTATATTTCTAGTATTATATTTATAGACATAACAGTAAAATATAGGGAACGCCCAATCGTTAATGGTTTGAGTCCCGCTGCTACAACATTGCCCTCCACAAGTTGAGACAAATATAATAGATTAGAGTATGTGACATACGACTAGTGCAGATAGCCCTTGTGTAACCGCGTGAATATCTGATACAAACAAGCGATATTTGATTTTACGGCCAGGATAGTCTACAACACTCAATTAATAACATTTAACTTATGAGAGAAAATACAGACAAACTGTGTTTAATTTCAAAACTCCCTAGCGAATTTAATATAAATTACTTAAGCAGTGAATACTTATAGTAATAACAAACATTATTTAAGCGCTTTCCGAAGTTCGGACACCCCTCCCTTTTTCACTGTTGAACAGTGCTTAAGTAACGATCAAACTTCTAAAAGATACGCTCATAGTGTTTCAGCGGCAAGTCTGCAGTTTTACGACGCTAAAATTTGGGTTTCGATACCTGTGATGGCCAGAACACAGATAGCCCATTGTGTAGCTTTGCGTATAACGACCACCACCAAACAACCTAAAAGATACCACCCTTTCAAAACGGAAAAGGTAGAAGCTAAAAGGAACTCAATTATCTATGCTAATATATGCTTTTTAACAATTACCGGACTTCTACTCGGTACCTTATTACTAGACATAAAAATCTGCTATACTTGAATGTTCCTGAGAAGTATAATGAAATAATTCCAAGAGTTTATAGAATGCTGTGACTTGCGAAGCACGATCATTAG